CTCATGCTCAGAAAAAAAATAACTTGTTATTACTTGGTTTTGTTCATATTTAATTACTGAAAGTAATACATAATTTAAACCACAATTGCTTATAATTGCAAAAACAAAGATATTTTGCTATGTGGTTTAGTCATTTGTTTCGGGTCGTCATAGGGTTGCCTTAAGAAACGTGACCGAAACATGTAGAAAAATATATTTGTTTCAATAATAAAGCTTTAAATGACATTTCACTGTTGTTTATTTTGAACAGAAATAAAATAGCTCTAAAAGGAACAAGTATTTTATTGACCTATACGAATAAATAATTATTTTAAATTAGTGATAATAAATTATTCAACGAATGAACCCATTCACACAAGAGACAAAAAAATGGTCTCATATAATTTTTGTTATTTGTATTTTCTCTTCATTAAGTTTTCATTAGGATAACACTGACAACCTACTTAATATCAAGCAGAGTAATTTGCTAGCACATATTATCCATCACATATTTCATCAGCATACTAAATTTGAAAAAGAAAATCTGAGTCTGCGCAGAGTATTGTTTTTTTCAAATATGTGAATATTTAAACTTACCACTATTACTTAAAGTAAACAGTATTGAGAATACTGAAAAGAAGACAAAACATAACATTGTACTTTGGCTCCAAAGAGAAATTGTTTTTTGAAAAACCTAAAAAGTTGGGTCTTATTTCATTTTAAATTTATTCACGAAAAATATTGTCTTTGGCACAACCGTTTTTATTTTTTTTTGCTGGTGATATTTAATTACATGTCCATCAAAATAAAAAAAAATTACCATGAGATTAAGTATATGAGTAATTAATGATTTTTTTTTACTGAGACATTCTAATGTAACAGCAACTGGGATGTTGTTAATACCAGCTTTCTTTGGGGCACTAGATCAACTGTTTATGAACTTTTAGCATGAGCTACATCCCAGACTGGTTAATTTTCGTATGTCTTATACCTTGTCATGGGCAATCAACATGTAGGGGAGGGGGCACTTGCCCCACCTGGAAAATGAGAAACATAATTCTTTCTTTATTCATTCAGCATATGTATATGAATTTTTTATTCAATTCACAATACTTTGCCCCCACCCCACGTACCTCCCTGGCAAAATTTCTGCAGATGCCCATGTACCTTGCTAATTTTATGAATTCTGAGAATCATCTTCAAAAATGCCCATTTACATACTGTGAAAGGAAAGAGCTTAAGGAATTATGTACTAGCATAAAATGTACACTTCATACATGCATAAACTCCTCACTCAACTGAAGATTTTAAAATTTGTTGTTTATCAGCTGTATTGTGCTAAATAATGTGTATAGCTTTCATGTGGAGAGGTTTTTTTTACATATTGTGAAAATACTATTTATATATGTAAAAAATACCATAGATATTGAAATGGTTTAGCAGGACAGTACTAGTACCATTATTCCATCTTTGGTGGCTTATTTAGTTATTAGTTTCCCTCAAAGTTATAATTCTGGCACTTTGGGCTTCTTGAAAATGGTACAACACTACACAGATGTAGTGAAAGATGTCTCACCTTGTTCCAGTGGAGTAGGTAACATGAAAAGACAAGTCAGTACATAAAAGTCATGTGTATCATGGACCTGCATGCTTGGAATCTCATATGAGAATATGTCCATTTTCATCCAAAGTCTGAGGAAGTAATTCCTGAAACTGAAGATAGGGAAAAACTGCTGTTGCTGGATCTTGATACTCATCAATGTTCACCATAACATCATACAGTTTGTTTCCTAGTTCATGATTGGGGCCATTTTTTTGTCTTGTTGTATTTTCAGTTACTGTGAGAATAGAAACCTCATCTTTTTGTGGACTGTATGAAATGCTGTTGTTTCTCTGAAGTTGACATTGCTTATCATTAAAAGAGAACTTCCAGTGTCGATATATAGAGACTAATGCTACAAATCCTAAAATTACAAAAATGCAACCCCCAGCTATTGAAAATGAAATGTTTAGAGCCATTGTTGGATTACTAGATATTTTGTGGACCTGAACATGAGCACTGAAAATTGAGGAGTTGTACAGTTTCTTGTGAGATGAAATTTTTTCATGCTTTGTTATATAATTGTAAAAACTTTCAGTTGTGTTGTATATTTGTAGTGCAAAGTTGGTTAATTCTAAACTTTCTGCAAGTAATGCAGATATGTTACTAATGTTATCTGAACTTAAGGTATTTTCAATTCCACCTGTAAGATTATCAGCTTGAATTATCTTTGAACTGGTATTTATTGTTTGAGCATTTGTTGTATTAGCATCCATATTATGAATATCAATATTACCTGAAGATAGAATGTATTGTGAGTTGAGAGTTTCATTGTAAGATTTTATTTCTGTGGTGTTTAATTGTGCTTCTGAATTGCCTGGAAGGTTTGATTTATTAGATGTCATCCAAATTCTAGATTGGCTTTTGTTCACCATGACTGACATTTGTGTACCATACACTGGTACAAACATTCCTGAAGATTTGTTTGTGGTTAATGGGAATTGTGTTGCTGTTACATATAATTTCACATCATCTTTCTCCAGATTATCATTTTTTGTCTCCATTTTAGATGTTTCATTCAGTATGATTGTGAGGTCTTTTTCTGTTAGAAGCATAATTGGCTTAAATTGAAGTTGAAGAGGAGAAGAACAGTAAACATCATAACTCTGGTAAAATTGGATGTGTGAGGTAGTGATCCATTTCTGTAACCACAAAATAGATTGATTACAGTGCCATTTGTTACCACTCATTTTGATAATCTCTAAGTTAGGGAAGAAAGAAGGGAAGTCAGATCTCAAACTGGTTAGGTCATTGTGCATGATATTTAGTTCTCTAACATTATGTAGGGCATGAAGGACTCCAGTAGATCTAAGCACCTGGTGAGATAAATGAGAGCTGTCATACAGTTCCAGTTTGATCAGATTTTTCAGTGTGTCGAAAACTAGTTCATCAAAGTAGATGATGGAAGAAATATGGGAAATCTGAAGAGTTTTGAGGTTGTCCAATCCAACAAAGCACCTTGATCCTATCATCTTAATCTTATTCTGTGATAGATTCAAGGTTTCAAGTTGGGCAAGTTTTTCAAAAACACCAACTGTCAAATTCTTTATCTTGTTAGCTTGAAGGTCCAGGCTTCTCAAATTAAAAAGATTGCAGAAGGCACATTTGTGTAGATATTCAATTACATTTTTCTGAAGATACAAGTGTTCCAAATTGATCAGTCCTTGGAAACTGAAAGATGGAAGTTCTTTCAGACTATTATTTTCCATGTAAAGCGATTGCAAACAAGGTGGTAAGTTCATTGGGATTGACCTCAATTTATTACCATTTAACCAAAGCCTGTTCAAAAACTCAAGCCTCCCCAAGGCATCATTTTCAATTTCTGATATGTTGTTGTCGTCCAGGACAAGAAGCCCAAGATATTGGTAACTTTCTAAATCTCCTGTTCTGATGTAGGTTATATTATTTTTAGCCAGCCTTAAGTCTCTCACAAATCGTGTCAAGCTTTGGGGCACATGTTGTATGCCACTGTTTGAAATATCAATATATTGGAGTCTAGAGCCAAAAAAATCCAAACGAGTTAAGGTAATAAGGGGATTGTTGCTTAAAGTTAAGTGAACCAAATTTTTCAAATATTGGAAAGCTCCCATTTGAATTGTAGATATATTATTTAGTTCTAAGTTCAAATATCGGACGTTCTGTAGCCCTGTTAAACTCTTCACTGTAAGTTGAGGAATTCGGTTGTCGCCAAGGTTCAGCTTTTCTATAGAAGACAGGTTTCGAAAAGCCTCGTCAAAAGAGACAAGGAGATTAGATGAAATATCCAAATAACGCAAAGCTAATAAACCATCAAAAGTTCCCTTTTTTAAAATATAAAGTAGATTTTGACTTAAATCTAGACGTTCCAGTGCATGAAGATTCAAAAAAGTTTCATTATTAATAGTCTTGATCTGTGTTTGCTGTAGTTTGAGGTCTTTTAATTGTACGAAGCCTTCTAGGTTTCTAAAGGTTAAGGATGGAATTATATATTTCCGGAGCTCAAGCCGAATCACCGTTTTTGGTATGTCAAGTGGTACTCGCCATATCCCATCGCTCATACAACGAACATACAGGAAATTTTCATCACAAAAACAGGCATTTGGGCACGCTACCGAAGCCTTTACTAACATTATAAAAGTACAAACTGTTAATGGATATGATACCATCCTTCTAGGTTGTGCAACTTGGGCTAATTCCAATGTACCCATAAATGAAATTGTCCAGAAGTCATGGAGTTTGTATATAGGCTTCAGCAGAGGGCAGTCACAGTCTTTGAACTGAAATTCCTGTATTGGTTATAATATATTTACTTTGTTAATAAAAGGCAACACTTTAATCTCCACAGTATATTGTTATTACGTGCCAATTTTGACTTGTTGATGAAAGTTTCAGATGACCACAGTTTGTTGCAGTTCAATCTTTGGGTTTACCAAGATTGTTAATTCGCCAGTTTCTATGTATTACGTGTCTTTTATCGTGTAAAATTACAAATTACACGCACAGTTTCATCAGCGTTACGACTGAACTAATTAAAAGCTGTTGGACTTTAGTCTGTAAGAAGAAGGCAAATTTAGGCTAGTTTTTGTCGTTTATTTTGTTTTCGAGTACTGCTTGTAAGTCCAACTGCCAGCATCTGGTTGTTTCGTGTAAATCACCTGAGCCACACAGTTCTTAATTACAAACGCTGTGGCTCCTTCGAAATGTTGTGTTTAGAGTTGTTTATACAAGCATCACTTGAATGCTTGACATGTGAGCCACGTTATTCGAGTTTGACAAACTTACGAACGTACACCAGTTCTGTCAACACAATACCTTGGAGTATTTAAACTCACTGGATGACCAAGCTTTCTACAGACTCGAGACAGTTTTTCTTGTTGTTTGAAAAGGGTACTAAAGAACATGATTAAATCAATACAACGGCTAGGTTCACATCAACAATAGGCTGAGTGAACATCTTCAGCAGAACACAATTCTTTCGGGTAGGCACCATTCTTAATCACTCTTGTAATTGTTGTTGACCCCTGTGGACTGGGTGTCTGTAGGTGTTCTACAACACCCAATAAAAGAGATTAGCTGACAACTTTTTTTTTCTTCTTCTATTCTTCAAAGGTTTTCCGTATGACTAAACCTAAAACAATACAGAAACAGACTGTGTTAAGTATATTAGAAAGATAAGCCGAACATACTACCAACAACTTATAACAAATAACCGAATCGTAAATCATTTACAAATATCAAACTTAAATAACTTTTCTTAGGAATTTTTTGTTGATTTTTGGAAACCTAACTGTTAAATTCATATTTATATAGATTATTATTAACTTATTTAGATCGTTATCACGTTTCTTTAAATAAAAATGGTAAAATGAAATCAGTCGACATAATTACTTTCTATTCTGTCGATATTGAAGTAAATGTAAATATATATATAATTTAGTTACATCGCACTATCCGGCCTGGAAGAGCCAGGTAGTTAGGGAGCTCGACTCGCAATCTGAGGGTCGCGGGTTCGAATCCCCGTCCCATCAAACATGCTCGCCCTTTCAGCCGTGTCGACGTTATAAAGTGACAGTTAATTCCACTATTCGTTGGTAAAAGAGTAGTCCTAGAGTTGGCGGTGGGTGGTGATGACTAGCTGCCTTCCCTCTAGTCTTACGCTGCTAAATTAGAGATAGTTAGTGCAGATAGCCCTCGTGTAGCTTTGTGCGAAATTCAAAACAAACAAATACATCGCAAAAAAATAATAATTATAAGATTAACCCGATAACAGGAGCAATTTCGGAAGGTTGATCTTCCAAAAGCACTTGGGTAATCGGGGTTTCTTGTTACGTCATAATTCTATAACTTGATTCTGTGTATTTTCACATTTACAATTTTCTCAATGCTTTCTTTTTCCGTTATCCTCCGTGGTCAGAAACTTAGGTTAATTCTAAATCAATATACTAAGGTAACAATGCAAAATAATCATTGTATTAAGAAATATACATACTAAATAAATGAAAAATGATAACATTAGTTATATATATACAATAAAAAGTTTAATCAATATTGTTAATGAAACTAACATTACAGAAAGAGTGGAATTCTACTTTCAAGGCACGTGAAAACTAATTCTTTGACTCGTGCACTAATACTAATTCTCTATCTCGGGAAAAGTGTGAAATACCCAAAGCTTTATACAATCCTTCTTGAAAAAATTTAGTGACCAATAAAAACCTATTGTATGGCTTCGTAGGTGTAACTTTAAGCTAGGTTTTTGTTTGTTTGTAATTAAGCACAAAGCTACACAATGGGCTATCTGTGCTCTGTCCACCACGGGTATCGAAACCCGGTTTCTAGCGTTGTAAGTCCGCAGATATACATACCGCTGTGCCATTGGGGGGCAGGCTAGGAAATAGTTTGACTGTTTGTATCGGATTGTAGGTAAAAAATAAACAAATATAACTGTACAATGAATAGTAAAGGTATCAATATTATAATTAAAAATAATCAAATAATCAAGATAACTGCAATAAAAAGAAGAACAGCTATTTCTGTACACACCTAATCCGACTTTAAGACCAAACCTACCACTGAGTACAAGGTCATTTTATAGATCAGACAGCCAGAACTCAACAAAGTTAAACTCTAAGATATAGCCGAAATGTATAAACGATAATAATATACTGTTGCGTCAGCGAGGTCATGTGACTAGTGTCACGCCAAGTTTCTAGAACTATCCTGTTCCTTCGTGAATGCCCTAGCATTTACTAGATATATGTTAGTCTGGTATATATATAAGACGCTCACAACGTGACGGGACAATGTGTGTAGGTGACACAAGTCCTTACTTAATAAAACTGGTTTATTCTTTCTGAATATAACTTTACCGATACACTTATTTTCAACAGTCGCTCTATAACAAACGTTTTAACAACGAACGTTAACTTCAACAATACTTTCTGACTGCAGTTCAATTACTCACTGCTAAAATTTCAGCCAGAACGAAGTTACGGAAAATCAATTAACGACTGGAGGCGTAACAAATTGGTGTCAGAAGTGGAATAAAAAAAAGAAGAAGAAAAAGAGAAGATGGAAACGAGAAGCGGCAAATCAAACTACAGTTTAGCAGATTTGATGGCAGCAATACAAGAACAGCAAAAGAAACAAAAAGAGAGACAACAGCAGTTGCAAGAAAACATGCAACAATGGCAGCTCGAACAACAAAATAAACAAGAAAAGAAACAAGAAGAAAGATTACAGCAGTGGCAACTGGAACAAGAAAGAAAACAGGAAGAAAGTCAGCAGCAACTACAGGAAAATCAA